TTCAAACTCATCTCTAATTCACTCAGAAACATTACTGAGGACTTAATATGTTTCAGGCACCAAGCAGCTCATGACCAGAAATGACAGGTTAAAAGAAAATAACTAGTATTAACCCTAGAGAAATGAAGCATATATTCACAAAACAACATGAGAATATTCACAGCAATTTTATTCCCCCAAATTAAAAACCCAATGTCTGTCAAGAGAACAAATAAAACAGAGGAATACAATGCAGTCCTACTCAGCAATAAAAAAGTGTGGCCCTAGCCAGTTTGGCTCAGTGGATAGTGTTGGCCCTTGGACTGAAGGGTCCTGGGTTCTATTCCAGTCAAGGGCATGTACCTTGGTTGCAGCTTTCTCGGGCCCTGGACGGATGAGAGCAGGAGGCAACCAGTCAATGTGTCTCTCACATCAATGTTTATCCCTGTCTCCCTCTCCCTTCAAATCAATGGGAAAATATCCTCGGGTGAGGATTAAAAACAACAAAAAGTGTGAACTACCAAAACTATATTAACAGGAACCTCAAAAATGTTAAGTAAAAACTGCAGAACTCTCAGCACCTAACAACTCCATCTACACTCTGCACTGAGACCTGGCCAAACTTGAGTATGGCTTCTACCAGCAGAAAGTCACCCAACTTCCTAGAATTATACACTTCACCCCTATCCATACCCCCCATTACAAGGTCTGCTTGAGAAAGTGAAAGACAGTCTGAAGAATTTACTGTTTGTTCTAGCCAACACCTGACCATAGGCCCTTGAACTCTGTTGCTTAGAGCATTTACTAAAATGAGCTTACGTTATGAATATTTATCTCTTACAGCTCAGAAGTGTCTTTCTCAAGGACTCCAGAGTCATTCTTTTAAAATGTAATCACCAGGAAGGACTCTGTCTCTGTGGGAGGACAGAATTCTACCTTTGACAACTGCTAGCAAGCAAACACTGCTGGCCTAATCGAATTTACACTGACCCAACCTTCTGTAATTTTTCACTTCTCAGTCTCTACTCAGCTCTCCCCTCTTCCTCCTCCTTCATTCTCCCTTTAAAAGGCCCAATCAGCTCTGCACAAATCAGAATGGAGCTGAGCTCTTTCTCCTACTGCCAGTAGCTACTAAATAATATCCATCATCACTTTAATGTCTGGCTTTGTTTATCTTTAATACTGAGTGAATAAGCCAGACATAAAGAATCTATACTGAGATTCCACTTAAATGAGACACTAAAACAGGCAATATTAAGCTACGACAACAGATATCAGAACAGTGTCTACATCAAGGTGTGGAAGGGCCTAGGGCACTCACTGGAAAGAAGCAAAAGGGAATTTTCTAGAGTGATGGAAATGTTCTAGAACTTGATTGGGGTGTTGGTTACACAGTGTATCTGAGTATCAAAACTCAATGGGCTTTATTTTACACTTAAGATCTCAGCATTTTTACTATATGTAAAGTATACCTCAATTTAAAAAAGTTTTTTAAACAGATAGATTGCTATAGGGCAGTGTTTCTCAAATTTTTTGGTCTCAGGACCCTTTACTCTCTTAAAAATTATTGAGGAGCCCAAAAAGCTTTTGTTTATGAGTTGTACCTGGCAATATTAACCACACTAGAAATTTTAACTGAAGAAAAATTTTAAATACTTATTAATTTAAAAATAACAGTAAGCAGACAGATTTGGAAGCTGAGAGCAGAGTGAAGGTCACTCTGTGGAGCAGACAGGTGACGTTCGGGAACGTGGACACAGAATTCACTAAGGAGAAGTGAGAATGCCTGCACCAGCTCAGAGGGACTTGACAGGTATGTGATGTGGGAAAATCACATCCCTGCTCTCCCTGGATGAGGAGCTCCTAGGCACAGAGTCCAAGAACCATTTCAACTCACATCCCCCTAAGTGGCATTATCAGAAACAGAACCTGTTTTCTAGCTGCAAAGACAAGTCTCTTAACCATGATGCTATATGAAGAAAGGTATTCAGTTTCATACTTAAGTCCTCAACATCTGTACTTATTGTTGCTGATGTCCTTTGCCATTTTAAATGGTTTTATCCTCATAAATAATTGTGACTGTGGCAATTTATAATTATGTCTATAAATTTACTTTATATGCCAATATTACCTATGACTAAATACTTAAGAGATGCAAATAAGATGAAAATGCACTGACTACCATACAATATGTAAGAAAGATTATCCAAGACTAAGTGTTGCGTTTATAGGGGCCAGAATGGCTCAATATTCTGATGATCACAGAAGATGCATTTGTCCTCACCCAGGAACAAGTGTACAATAGTAGTAACCACTGAAATCTTTGTACCATAATATGGTGGACTAATCTATGAGTTTTGAATTATATATAAGAGATAAAACACTGTAAGCTAGAGGCTAAATTATTGATTATCCTATATAATAAAAGGCTAATATTCAAATTGTCCCCTCGACTGGGAGTTCAACCAGGGGGGAGAGGGGGCGGCTGGTCCAAGGCCCCTCCCCCTGACCTCCCCTCCATCGCCCCCCCACCTCGATGCGGGGTAGAGCCGAGGCCCCTTCCCCCCTACCCTCCTGCCAGCCTGGCCCAATCCACCTGGGATGGGCTGGCCGGATCCCACCCAGGCCTCTAGTATATGATATAGTTGATTAACAATGAAAGATTACATGACAAAAAAATAAAAAACAGGTGTATTCTATTTAACATTAATTGCATATTTTATGAAAAATAAAACTATGTTTTCAAAATACTTAGTGAGAAAAGTATCACTATTTTGCATTTTTGCAAATATTTTTAATGACTGACTTTCAATGTATTGATTTAGGTGGAGAACACACAATCCAGCCTCACAAATATGCAGGAATAAAGGAAGGAATATTTAATAGCTTTTCAAAAAACTCTATGTAGTCTTCCTTGAAGTTACATCAAAACTAGAAAAGGCCCAGCCTGTGTTGCTCAGTGGTTGAGCCTCCACCCATGAATCAGGAGGTCACAGTTCAATTGTGGGTCAGGGCAGGTGCCTGGGTTGCGGGATACCCTGAAGGGGGTGTGCAGGAGGAAGCCCACTGTTGATTCTCACCTTGATGTTTCTATCTCTCCCTTCCTCTCCTTTCCTCTCTCTGAAATCAATAAAAAAATATTTAAAAATAAACTAGAAACGTGGTAGTTTTTTAAAGGTTGGTTTACAATATCAAATCTGAGGCTATAACAATGAACTCTTACTCTATCTTGTGCGTTAATAAAGTCTGTAGCTACTGGGAAACTGTCCTGAACATGATGGCAGATACAAGTTTTCCAAAATTTTAATTGCACTTGAAAGCTTGAATTTTACCATTGCCAACAAACACTGTGTAATTTTCCTTGATGGAATGAATCACTTTTTATTTTCAAGAAAACATCTGCCCAAATACTCATGTCTGAATAACAATGGTATTGATGGGGGAAATAAGACATTTTTGGGGGGCTAGCAACCTGAATCTGTGCCAGTAACCTAATGTACATTCTTGACAGCCTATACGGAAGTCACTGCCCCTTTCTCCACAATCTGGTCTAGCAAGACCTGTTTTCATACTTACTCCCAATGTACAAAGGGGCCATAAACAGAGACTGTAACAGCTTAGCTACAGGGAGGTCACCTACAACATCTAACTCCCCCATTCTGAGGGGCTGTGCAAGGCCACCACAAAAGCCTGGCGGTTAGGAAACAGATAGAAAACAAAGAAACCGAAGGGCATAAAGAGGAAGCTCCTCCACACTGGCTCACTCGGGGTTTGGAGGACTGACCCCGAGTCACTGTCCTAGTACATGTGAGACATATGAGAACACACGGGTTTATCCCGGACCCCCAAGTACTCCTGTGTGTTTTTCGGTCGCCTGGTAAATTCTGTAGCAGTATGTCTTGCAGTCACTCTTTTGAGAAAAAATGTTGTTCTGTGAAAAAAAAAAAGGTTCTCTCACCTGGCCACCCTCTACCCCACTGTTGGGAGATACACGGGGGCTACACATCCACGCAAACGCTCGAAACTACGGTTATCTTTAGAATACACTAGAATCCCACAAGACAAATGTGATGAGGCATATGCAGAAGAAGTTCAGGAGACTGTAAAAGCGGGAGCCCGGGTTCCCCGACTCTCAGACTCCGCGAACAAGTACAAATGAAACCACAACACAGGCGACGTGGGATCGCACCTGAAGCGGAAGCGGTAAGCGAGCCAGAAGGCAGGAGAGCAGGTGGAAGAAGCGAGCCTCATACTCACACTCGTACTTCCGATTGACTGGAGGATACTTGGCCTTGGTGGCCTTCTGCTTCGCATTCAAATTGTAGTCCCGAATATCTTCCTCTTCCTGCGCCATGACTGCAGCCTCGGACATTCCACTTCCGCCTTTCATCAGCAGGACTTCGGTCCTGATTTATAACTTCCGCTCTAGACTCCGCCCCGTTGGCACCCACCCTTAAAGCACCAGGACTTCTCAGGGACTTGCTTTATCCTAAGGCTTCCGATTTAGGCCTCGTCCTTCGGAGCACATCTTTCAAAAAGTCAAGGCCCCGTTTCCTGGGCTTGCGCCATCCATGGTTCTAAGGACTAAGGAAACAACTAAAGTGGAGGACCTGCGGAGCAAGGGACACTTGAATTAGACACTTCTAGGTCTCAGTGATAGAAGCCTTTTATTGCTACCGCGGTTGATAACTACTAGACCGGAAAGAACCCGAGGTTTCTCATCTGAGTACTTTGAAGGGGTCGTTAGTTTAACAGCCTTTAAGAAAATGGCTGCCCCCGGGAGAGTGCGGACTGAACCGCTCACGTGACCCTGACGGGCGGGAGGGGAGCGCACTCCCACCAGCCCTGCGCGCGCGCAATCGAAGGAAGTCGGCTCCCGGCTGGGAGGGGGGAGGGTAGGAGCGGAGCGCGCGCCTCCGCTCC